GCAAAGTTTGACCTATATTATTTACAATACATTTGAAACTTTTCCCTTGAGAATTGACTAAATATAATTTATAACTGTAACACAGTATCACGATTTCGTTTTAGTTGTTTGAACGATTCCACTTTTCCAGAAAAAAGTAATATATTTAATTAGTGTCATTCAAACGTCAGTTACTGAATCTTCCATTAGCCTCTTCTTTAGCGTCTAGTTGTTTATGAATTAGGAATTCATTTATGATATATTTAAATTTTTTGAATTTCTATGTTTATATATTTCTATTATTTTAATTCATTTATTTTTTGAATCACGTAACAATTTTAATTATAATTGTTTTATGGGTTAATATTATCAAATATCTTTGATGATATTATGTTCCTATACGATCAGATTATTTTTAAATACAAATATTCAATAGATTTAATGTATACCATCAGATGCAAATAAAGCATTAAGTGTTAATGTGGTCAATACTATAATTTAGTTCTTTTTATATTCATATTTTTGGAGTAGTCTTTCTTTTGAATGAGAACGTAATATAATGTGTGTTTGTGCATAGGTATAGTTTCCATTACTTTATTTCAAAATACTATAATGAATGTCCATCGTGCTGATTTGAGCGATTACGAAACAGAAAAATATACTCACAATGGTATTCTTTTTTTTAGACAAATAAAAATTAATCGTATTGTTATTAAAAACTTTTATAGAGGAATTAATGATCCATAACTTTATATATTTGTGTGTTAATTGCATAAGGCAATAATAAAATAGATATTCTTGTCACAGAAATATACACAGAAGTGTGTTGAAATACTGCAATATCGCGTTTAGAGCGAGTAATCGGTTTCGTAAATATCCTGGGTTGTTTGAAACCGGACTAATCGAGGAACAAAAATAAACTGGACAAAAATAGACTTGATTGTATACTGGGGAAAATCATATAATTTATGTATAAAAATCGAAGACGCACTATGCGAGGCACCATTTGCTTGATATAGAGTTTTGTCGATTAATTTATTGTTGTTATTTACTTTAGTTTAGTTCGCTTCCACGTGCTCATGAATGTGATTAGTTTATTGAAGGCTTTTGTAGTACTTAATGAGTTCATGTAATGTGTATTAATGTTGAGGTATTACGTATGAGGCGTTACCTATTGTTACAATGTAAATTGCATGCAATCTGCAAGTTTATTAATCATAATTTGTAAGGATTATTATAACATAGATTTTCCTTCGTTCTGAATATGTATTCCAAAGTTATCTTTATTTTGCATATAAGAAAAAATATAATTTTCAGTGAAGAAAATGTTGGAGGGTCTTTCGGTCAGTGGCCCGGCAATAAAAATACCAAAGTCGAGTATTTCATTCTGTTCGATTTGGACTTGGAGTTGTTGTTGCGTTTTTGCTCGGTCGTTTCGTTGAATAATTTACGTTTATTTTCCTTTTTTTCGCTCTTGTCCCTGCAAATATACGACTAGAGATTGAATTACAGCTTGGATGGCCGTTGGTGCGGTCATAAAGCTTGGGATTTGCCGAAAGTTCAAAGCTCCTCCATGCAGTTTACATATGGCCGAAGCTGTAGAATGTGGCAGTTAAAATATGCATACTGGATGTGTATTTTGCAGAAAGAGAAGTAGCGTGTGTTTGTGCGGTTTTGCGTGCTGAAGATCAAGAGAACGCAATGGTGAACGAGGATTGCAAAGTAAACCGGAAATGCATTCGCTGCATAAACAGACAGACACTACTAACGCATGTCTACTGTAATAGCTCAATACCAATCTCATTTCCACTGAGAGATGTGCATTGAAGGCAACTGAGGAAATTATGTTTGTATGCTCGAATTGCACGTACACACACACATACCTTACACGAACAGTACACAATTCTTCCTAAATATTTACTAACCCACTCCTGATAATTCTGTTTGTCAAGCGTTTCTGTACCGATGTATCGACTAATCGTCATTCCGCAAACTACGATTCTCATTAAATCTAATGACTTTCTATGTTTTTTTTGCCTTAGATCCACATGCAATTCTTCTGTTTTGTTTACTATTTGCAGGCGGAGTGCATGAAAATGCAAACTTTTTAACTTTATATAATTGAAGAGAAAATATACGTTTATATTTCAGCTTTCTAAGTTGGATCATTATTATTCGAAATAATTTTTATAATTAGAATATTGTTGAGAGATATTTAAAAAAATTGCATTTTAAAAAAAAAAATTGGAATCAAAACTGCAAGATATTGATTAAATGGTACATATAAGACTAACCAATACTATTTATGTTTCTTGCCAAAACTGCATTATTTCTGTTCAGGAATTACTATTGATTTCAAATTATATGATGTGTTTAAAACATTCACAATAGTTTAGCTAATTTACTAAACTTGTTTTATTAGAAGTTCATTATTAATATATGTGGAATTTATATATTATAATAGGATTAATGTTACTGTACTTATAATGTGAATGACTTTATTACCATTCAAGTTTACTTGGAAAATATCCGTGATATAAATATATGTAAATTTTGTATCGTGAAAAATATCATTGATTTAAGCTAATGGATTTATACGTTGTCCTGTAATTAATTTGAAAGATATCATGGTTAGAAGAGATTACAGGTGCATATCGTAAGCATCCGGGTTAATTGAATAAAGGCTCTTGAAAACGTCGTTTGTTTGTACAAGGAAGTGATAGCTTTGTGGGACATTTTTTTTTCGTCGCCGAGCAGATTTCACTTTTAAATCCGCGTTGTCGTTTGTATCGGTTGGGTGCGTTTGTTGTGGCTGGTTTTGCTGTTTGGTGACCTTCTGGGATATAGGAGTTCTCCTCGTTGATTGCCGTGATAGAATGCGGCAGGACGGTTCCGTTGCAGGCGCAGTAGTGCCATGGGCCGAAAAGATTGATGGAGGCCCTTTCGGCCCGACCCTGACACACATAGTCATTGCTCCAGAAGGATGTCATACACTTGCTTTCTGCTAACGAATATATTCTCATCGTCGTCATAATCATCAGATCATCATCATCGTCGAATTGGGACGGCCAGAAGAACGTTATGTAACAAAAATTACTCTGTCCCATCGATCCGAAAAACCTTTTGTACGTAGTCAACGATGTGGGGAATGCAACGCGCAATTAGATGGCCGCCTCTTTGTGATTTATTCAGGCCGCAATCGATTTTCACCACCAACGGAAGATTTTTTAATCTAGGTCGTGGTTTACACAGGAAGGAAGTCACCTCGTTCTTTTTTTGTAATTTAATTTTTGCTAATGACTGCAAAAAAATGAAGTGTTCGTTTCTAACATTAAAACTTGCTTATTATACCATTCTCAATTTTATCTACAATATATGCATATTATTTGTCACTACATAATAATTGCTCTATAAATTAGCAGGAATAAAGTCTAAATAACATTAGGATGAAATTGCAAGATACAAATTATATATATACATCACCATTTTTATTAAAGTAAACACCCTTTGCATTATTCAATTTAATGCGCTCTTCGCTTTGGTTCCACATTCAGGTTTCGACTTTGCCATGCTCTTCCTCCGCAAGTTTCAAGCCTTCGAGCTACTTGCTCTGTATCGAAATGTATTTTGAATTGACTGAAAGTATTCAGTAGTATATGTATTCCATTCACATATTTCAAACAAGTTTTTTGAATCAAAGAGAATCAATTAAATGTGAAACTAATTAAATTTCGCCAATAAGTTTGTGCATAAAATAATTATTAGGATCGTAACAAATTACGATTTGGCTTGGAGACATAACGTTTATTGTTCGAAACTAAAATGTTGGCAATCGCCTAAGTTTTATTAACAAATCATCACGTATATTTCAAAATAATGACTCCACGTGGTTTCCGAGAAACTATGTTTATCGAGATCTATCATCATATTATCAAGTTTTATTTATTTGCAGATATTATTAGCATTAATGTTCTTAGCTAAACCTATTCACATAATGTTTATATTATATTTTTGCACTTATTTTATGTTTTGTTAACACGAATTAAACAACTTATTTTATGACATTTCATTATTTTACATCATACTAAATGTCATATTCAATTCTATTAGTTTGAAAATTTGATATTTTTATTTCAGTTTAAATTTTCTAGAAACTCATAAGATCGAAAATTTATAGATCTTTAGAAGAAATTAAATGTACAGTGGAACCTCGCTTAACGAGCACCTCGCAGACGAGCAATTCTCAGTTTTTGAACCAAAATAAATTTCTACGCCAAAACTCAAACCGAAAAAAAAAATAAATTTAGAAAACTACATCGTAATTCATTGAATAATCACGTGCTTGACATTAATATTAAGTGCTGTATCAAGTAAGTGGCACGTAAATTATAATTTATGTGACATTTAATATGGAATATGAATTAACTGGTTTCCAGATTTTATGTATGATTAAAGGCCGTATGCGTGTATCTGGAAAGTTGACTATGGTTGTTAATAAAGTTCTTTTCTTTGGATTTACGCCTTTCAAAGGTAAATCAAGAAAGAGGTAGTATCGACTTTGTAACAGGCGATTGCATGTATAGCAATTTACGTCTGATTACTGACTTTTACGGGGTGTTTGTATATGAATATATTCAATTAAATATTTGGTGTAATAACTGCTTTTAAGGTTTCATTGTAATCATTAGTCTCTTGAAATTTTCTAAAATGTAATTGGAAGTTTGTTATAAATGTTTGGATTCAATCTGTAAACATAGATTTGGTATTATCTGCAGCTAATGTTTGTAGTAAACATAGTATTTGCGTCAGTATTTTAAGGGTCAAATGTTAATAAAATGAGAGGTCTACAATAACGTAAGCAATAATTCGTTCTAAAAAGATAAAAGTCACGTAACTATACTTGACATCATGAGATGACAAATGACCAAAATACGATTAAGTTTATGATTTGCTATATATTTTTTTAATTACTATTTATTAGTTATTGAAAGTATTAAACTGGTACGTTTTGTATGTTTCAGCCGCTTGCAAATTTCCACGTCTGAAATGCATCTGTGTGGAAAGTGCGTCAAGATATGAGAGACTGAGTGAAGACGGTGTATACGAGCTCAGTTCCATCCCAGAAGATAGGGACTCCTCAACCGGGGATTTTCTTGAGTTCAATTTTGGTCCGGAGTGCAAGGATTCGACAAACGAAAAACAGGTGAGATGTGTTATTGTTTTTTTTTTTGGTAAATTGGATGTAAATTTAGATTGGATGAGTCGTGCTGCGGCTCCAATAACAATTTAGAGAACTTGGACAGGTTCTCTCCTGCAGGAGCTCAAGTAACAATTACATCCTGGGCGCAGGTTTTTTATAGTTTTGCTCATACCGATGCCAGTGCGTGCGTGCTTTTAGTTTTACGAGCCTATAAATTGCTTGAAGTTTAATGGCAAGTTCAAGCAGAATATGTTTAATGTACAAGGATAAGCTATTTACGAGAGTATTTTTACCAATATCCACCGCAAAAATGGCAAGTTTCTTTGCACCGTGGATAGTATTTCATCGTGTAGATTCATCACATAAATCGTTTAAGTTTCAAGCTTGATTTAATATTGCTTTTATCATCAATTTAACAAAACTAATTAAGAATTAAGTATTATTTACTTTTGCGTTTAAATAAAAACGCAAATACCAAATATAATTACTATTAAAAGAACAAATTGTAAACTATAATTTGAACTTGAAACTCTAAATTGAATTGTACGTTTGTGAGTTTATTTGATTATCCTTAATTTTGGTTTAATCCAGGTTACATTTGCTAATTTGCGCCGACACGTACCATTTAGTTTCGTTATATTGAGAGAGAAGAAAGAGTGCCATTTAATTAATGAACTAACTAATTAAAATTTATTGCTGCCTCCGTCGGGTTCTATTATACAAAAAAATGAATTTAATTATGGAAGGCATTGTGTGCGGTATTCGCTTGGAATTTAAATCATTATAATGTGTGGAAATAAAAAATAATGTATAAACGAAATTACGAATCGTTTAATTTTTGCTAATAATTATTTAACGCGTTAAGGAACACGTTTGCCTACTGCGAGAAAAAAAAATTGTATATGCCTATGGATTAAGTGAAAAGTTAAATATGTTACGTCAATTACAAACTTTAAACGCTTAAACATTTTTTAATAATTTTTAAACAATAAAAAATGTGAAATATGAGTCTCGCAATTTATTTTACAAAGTATGTATAAATTATGATATAATATCACGTATCATATCAAAATCAGTGGCGTGCATAGCGACTAAACTATTATACATAATTTATGACCCACTGTTGGGTCATGCCGTCGTCAACGTGTCAATTACATAATTTAGTTATTATTGGGTGAAGTAACAAGTTTTAAGCGTTTTTGTTAGATGCCTTTAGTGAGCCATATCTCACGATGTATACTTTGCATCTTGTCATTCTATACTGTGACTTAAAGGCGATATAACGTATTAAAAAAAGTTCATTGACAGTATTGTATTTAGTGAATCCAGTTGTGCATTAGATAAAAAATGTGTTGTTTATGGACCAATACAGTATCGAATGCAATAGCAAAGCGTTGGTTCCAACGCTTCCGTTCTGGTAATATGGACGTCGAAGATGAGACACGTTCTGGTAGGCCAATCGTCGAAAATATTGATAAATTAATGGAAATCATCGAGTCGGACCGGCATGCGAGCACTTATTACATTGTCCAGGAACTGAAGATTAGCCAGAAAAACGTTTGGAACCATTTGCACAAGGATGGTCTCAAGAAGAAGCTCGATGTATGGGACAAAACGCTCAATAATTTTTGCTTCACCCAATATTTCAAAGCTTTTGTCTGTAGTTTAGTTGGTAGTTATGGTAAATTATATGTCAATGTTTATAGTTGTTTACGGTTAATGTCTTTGTAATATAGTGCTCAGAGTTAGAAGTATAAATGAATATTGAAATATTACTTCACGGCATTTTTTTTTCAGTGAATCTAATCTAAATGTAAGTTTAATTTATCAATGTAAAATGTTTTCATAAGTCTTAATTAATGAAAAGGAAAGGAACAAGTCGCTTCCCACAAGTTTCCTTTCGACTATCGTAATTTATTAGATACATCCAAGGTGAATATCAATCACGAATGTTTATCGATCAATTAATTTACCGGTGGTGTGCATTGATCTGAAGGATCTTAATAAACGTTTATTGTGACTTAATTCATTCACGTCCAACAGCAATCAGCGATGCACGGAAGGAAATCTCCGTGTAATAAAACGTGTCAACGGGTATTTCGAGCTTATTAAAGCTAGCAAACCACTTTTTAATCGCTGCACTCGACCAGACATATTAAATGGAGCCGAGGCATAGAGTATCTGACAGGCGTCAATGGAATACAGTCGACTTGTTTATATCTGTCTCGATTTCATATAATTTCTTAGAATACACATATAATTCGGGGAAAGGTCGACTTCTGTTAACACAAATAGTATATTTTGTTATGTAACTCAATAACTTCCTGATCCATGTAATAGTTAAACTTAAGCATACAAGTTTCCTGTAACCAATAGCAACAAAAAATGAACTCTAATTAACGCTTATTTTACTATTACTAGTATTATAGTAAACTTATCTAAATTTTCGTATTTAATTAGTTAATTTGAAACTTTTATTAATAGTTTTTCTATTTCATTCAGCGAAGTATTTTATTTTATCTATTAAAAAGAATTTTTGTTATCTATTTACTTTGAGTTGTTTTTGTTTTGGATTCTTTAAATATTTCGTTATAACAAGCAACACTTCAACAAGCAAATATGTATCACAATGTTGGAATGTCTGTTATTCATCAGTATGTGCTTAGCGATTCGAATTATGCTTTAAGGTATGCATGCAAGAATATTTCCAATCGTTTCCTATTCATTAGCAAAATTAAAATAAATCTGTAATTATCGATGAGCACGAACTTTCGATCGAACGTTAAGTGCAGCTCTCATTAACTTTCACATTGCTGGATTGGGGATGTAATGTATTTAATTACTGATTTAGATCTAATTTTTATATTTATTGAAATTCGCAGGAAGAACTTCTGTTTTACAACGACGATGGAAGCTTCCAGTCTGTTGTCGTCGAGAGGAACCTCTGCGCCAGCGATCTGTGTCAACTCCTAGCCCTCAAAAACAGAATCCCGGAAAGCATAAATTGGTGCATAATAGAGCACTGGCCCGCTTTGGGTTTAGGTAAGTTGTTATCATTTAAAAAGAAAACGGTGCGTTTAATGTCAGCTCCGAAATTGCTCAAAATAGATTTCCCTCCCAAAAATTTTACATCGTCAGCGAAGATAAGAGTCAGATAAACGCTTATCTAGTGAAAGAATTTGGTCAGGGCGAGGAGTAGTAGTATTACGTCGTCGGAAAATACATGTATTTAAATAACGAACTTCATGTATGAATTGTGACGGGAGATAAAATGCGCCGTAGTAAATTTCATTGATCAAATGCTGTGAACTTTGTACGCACTGACGTGCCAAAATATATAATGGAATCGCAGAATGAAACGTGATTTCAAAATTATGGGATCAATGAATTCCGCCAAGTTTATTTACTATTTTATAATTGCAAATAATTGCAATGTAACAGAAAATTACAAATTTTAAAGTGATTAAATATTGTTCAGCAGTATTTAAATTTAATTTTCTTTTTATTTTCAAATCTATATAACATAAATAAAACTATCAAAATATTTGTTTGTGACAATAATTTTTCACTTGTACGATGCATGAATCAGAATTTCAAGGACTTCTATATATGTTTTTCTCAAATTTTGTTTTCAATTTCAATATTTATTTACCTAATCTATTTACGTCTTTTTTGTGTATATTTTGAAAAAGTAGTATAGCACAACAAAATTAGTATATCGCAGGACAAATAAAAACAAATTACTTTAATTGCTTTTTCACACGGTTAGGTTTCATGTTAGGTTAGGTAAAATTTGGTTTTGGACTTCAATGTTACGACGTTCGGTGTTACAAATAGACTATGGTGATACTCTATTACCTAAAAAGTATACTGTAGTCTACGGTGATATCCCAGAATTTAGAATAAATAATTTTACAGTCAGTATTTTTATTAAAACCAATACATAATGTTACATCTTCTTTAGTATTTTCAAGTAGCTCATCCTAACAAATACCACGTGTCCAAAACGTGGATTGCAATTAGTATGTAAGTAGTAACTTAATATTTTCACAGTCAATACAGCTATTAGAAACGTATTATTTGCTTGTTGTTATATATTTGGTTGCAAGAGTTGCAAAAATGAAAACCACTTTTATAAGACAAATATTTGTCATTAGTTTCCAAAATTTGAAACGCACATAAAATACTTCGCGTTGGAATCTATAGAGTGTGTAGGATTGTACCTAACACGACTCACCTTGAATAGGTCAGTGATGTTATTGCTGCGTGAGTGCTTACAAGTGCTTTAATTTTCATCATAAGACGTGTTTAATTGAGCACATTCTTGCAATTACGACTGAATAACTCATCATCATTTTTTTATCGAAATACCATTTTTATTTTATATGTTCTGGTAACAGTATTATTTTTACTGCACAATCGTAAACAAATATTTTATGAGATTAACTGAGTACAAGCAAATCAGTTTTTTGTATTTTTCCAATCCAATTTAATTATCTGTTGTCCGATGTTAATTGCGGTTATCTGCAATCGTTTTTGCAATTGTTACAGCTTCAACCTTGAAATCGTTGATTAATTTATCTTCGTAACTTTCACCTCTGCTTGATTCATTAGTTAAAATATGCAATTAATCACTGAGAGAGGTTTTTTTTTCTCTTTGGCTATATTTTTTAGACCCAATAAAAGCAATCAATATGATTTAAGGGGTTCACCAAGTTTAAGCGTTAAATCTTGTTAAGCTCTTGTTTTATAACTTTTCCTCTTCGCTAATCCCTTGAAGTTGCACTGTAATAGACTCTGATTAGTACGCTCAAGTCCGGAACCACAGACACGGTCATTCATTTTACTTCCAATTAAAACTATTATTTTTATATCTATTGGCCTTAAAACAGTTTAAATTTGCATAAAAAAATATTTCACAAAAAAACTTCAAAGGAAATTGAAAATCGCTTTAACATGTTAAAATTCTCTTCTATAATCGATTATTCCATGATACAGAATGTCTTCAATCTTTTATAATATATTTAAATTGGTAGATTCGACTTCTTTTTATAGCTTACTCTACATATAAGAAACAGTTTAAAATTACATACTTCATCCAGATTGTTTTTATTAATTATAGTTTTAATTATCTCAAATTGCTTATTATTTCTATATGCTAATTGGTCAAAATGCCCTTTGCATCATAACCAGTTATGAGTGATATTACATGAGGCATAGCTGTGTTACACATACTTAGAGATTTCAATTAAATGCGTACCAACTGCGCCTTTGATGTAAGATGTTGTATTAAATTAGATTCAGATGCGCTCTACATACGTAAATTTTCATTTCTCCGATCAATCAACTGTATTGACTGCATTTCATTCCATCTGGTTGTGGACTTAATGTTTCGTGTGAGATTCGGTATGGATGAAAAGCGATTACACTTCGACCGACGTAGCGGCGACCTCCGTGCAGTATTTGTTTAAGGCGGCCTTCGTTACATGCGAAGCAAATATCCGCTTAAAAAAGTGCATAACAAAATGCGAGGAGAGCAAAAAAAAAGGATAATTCAAAGATAATACATGTTTCTTTAAGTCTCGGCGACTCTGTGTCGCTGGTTTAATTGACGGTGCTGCTATAATTGCGATATTAAATAGGTGAAATTAGGGTGTCAATACACAATTGGTCCAGACGAAATTCAATTGAAGCTAATTGCTTGAATTGAACCCTGTGTGAATCAAAATCGTTTATTGCTGCTCATTGTCAGCATGAAGAATTTTACTTTGTAATAAAAAAAAAAGAGTGAACAATTAACATTCTATTTAAAGGCCTATGCATGTTTTCTTACTACATGAAAACTACATGAAGTACTAATTAAGGTTTATTGTGTAAAGAGATCGGTTCTACGCAAAATAACAATTATCTGATGATCTATGAAAACATGTTATATTTATAGTAAATTATATTTAAGATCATAAAATATAGTCGTATATTTATAATACATGATCATATAGAATTGCGCAAAGAATATTTCATATCATAAATTATAGTATTTTTATTACTTCTCGAATTATGTTGAAGTTTTCTTACAGATAATGTATATATTGTATTTCCCAGTACTTCTACATGATTTAAGATTTGTTAGATTTTTTTTTGGAGAACTTGCACCTCGCAATTTTGCTCATTATTACTTCGCTTAATGAGCAAAATTAATTGTAAGAAACATGACTCGCTTAACGAGCGACGTTTCGTTTAACGAGTGACGATGAGAAGAGAAATCCCGGATTGCGCGCCTGTTACATAATTTTTAAAACTTGTGTACACATATTATGTGTATTTTTGAATATGTTTCACTTAAAAAAAATCAGAAATTTTTGGATCGGATTAAGCGTGGTTCCACAGTACTATTTAACCAAATGAATAGAAGCAGATTAAGACTATGATTTGCCATTAATAAAATTAAACTAATTCAATGGTCAAATTAAATGTGTTAATTAGTTTTCAGTGAATATTAACGGGGAAATGTTATTGTTAGAATTTCTGCAAATTCATCACCTCGAATTGTTTAATGAGCGTGAAATGAGAAAAAAAGCAATGCGTCCAGTTAATTTTAGTTGGACGAAAATTTGTTTAGTCTACAAACCGAAGACAGACGACAAAACCTCATCCTGCTGATCATCACTGTTAGCAAATTAATAAGGACCATTATTGATGAGTAACTTTCCTTAAATGATGTCCTTGTTACAAACTATAGGTTTACTATCCTAGAAATAGGATATAAAAAAGGATGAAATAGTTTGTGCAAGATTTACTTCGTATTTTCTAACGCAATTCTATTTTAGCCACGTGAACATTCCTACCTTATTTATGGGGCTGCAATAAAAACGCTTATTTATAAATGCGTTGTCACTTCCAATTCATATTATTAAGCGATGCATTCGCCCAACGCGATCCTCACGTTTTAATTTTAGTAATTGAAAGATAAATAACCACACGTTTTCTGCATGCATTATTATTCTCGGTATTTCGGAAAGTCCGCTGTTCGAATTGTCTCTTTTTTTAACTGCTACTTCTATTCATAGAAGTGAGTTTATGATTAAACCTATTTGCTGTATTCTATAAATAAATTGAAATCATTGGAACTGTTTTATGTTTTAAGCTAAAGGCAATAACGATTTCCAAGAATTATCTTAATTAAACTGTGTTTTTTGCTTGTTGCAAATTTAATACAAAGTTTGTTTTTTTTGTTTATATTTTTAGTAGACTTTTTAAATGTTATACAACGTAATTCATGGACATTGACATTTAGAAACATTACTATATGAGAATATAAATAATATTTGAAATTTTGTAGTTAATAAGATAATACAAAATAAAATCTTAATACAATAATAAGGGCTATTGAAAATGTTGTATTTTCAAGATGCTTTTGTTTGAAGACAATGCATAACAAACTAGTTTTGGAATTATTACTGTATTCGAGATGGTGATTAAAAAGTCATTATACTATTACATAATCTAACGTTAATAAATACGTGTTGCTTATTGAAACACATCTAATGGAAATCAAATAAAATCAAACCTTGAATCTTTAATCATTAGCAAATATTGTATGTAAACCTCTTGTAGAATCGTGTCTAATTATTCGTGTTCTTTGATTACATATGTAAATGTATTTGCTACTTTCATATTATATATTTGATTTTGCATGGCTGGAATAAGGCTAGAGAAAAAAAATAAATCGGTATTTTGTTAATTGGAAATTTATGATAAAAACATTTTTGGATAGTTAATATTTAAATCATATTTGTAAGTGATATCGTTTTTCGATTTAATAAAAAGTGAATGATGTGAATGTGTTCCAATTTATAAAATAAATATTGCGAGTAATATTTTAGCTTTATTTACAATTGTTCAAAAAACAAAAGTCATGCAATAAATTTGAAATGCTACCGTATTTTATGTTTTATGAAAAGAAGATAATTATCTACGCTGAATAAATAAACATAAATTATAATTTTAACGTCTACTTTATTGCTTTCCCATAAATAACTGTTAGATGATATTTCCAATGCTTTTTCTGAATTTATATACTTTATTTCAATATGTCGTGTTTAATTTAGTTTAGAATTGTTAACATTGAGCTTATATCAAAGTTACTAACCTGGAAATTTCAGTTATGCGACATCGAGATGTACTTGTGTTGCGTAATAATGGAAACATTTGCATTTTTATTATTTCATAAAACGACTCATAAAACCTGTCTGTGTCTCGTTTTTAGTATCGTCGCTCTTATATGAAATTAATAGCTTGCGTTTGAAATTAATTCAGTCATTATAATGTTATAACTTACACGGGTTACTCGTTATGGTTCTGAGTGTTGAAGATTTGTTTTTAATAACTCATTTCCATTGATTGTCGAATATTAACTTAATGTTAATTCCTAAGTAAATATTTATGTACAATGAATATTTAATATAGTTCGTACAGATTTATTTAACTTTTAAATTCTATTGGACTTATTATCTATTAATAGGATTATGTTAGAAAATATAAAAAAAGACAAAAGAAATTAACAAACCAATGTGTACAAGTTATACAACTGTTATGCAACTAAGGAAAAAAAATTGTTAGCGAATAAGTTAAAAGCATAGATCATAATTGGTTATATGCTTATAATATTGATATAATTACTTAATAGTTACAAATTTTGCAAAAAATCATAGCAAATGTATCCTATTGTATCCAAATGTATCCTTTTCTATTTCCAAAGTTTGTGTTTGCATTTTTCAAAGTAATTATTACAGTATAATTGAATGAAAATTGACTTAGTTTTTGCAGAACAAAAGTTAGAATATTCACATTAAGTAGATGATTCAATTTTTTTCTTAATTTTATTTCAATTAATCATATTTATCTAATCATTGAATATTTTTAAATAAAAGAAGCACAAGGTAACAAATTGCAATAATATTACAATGTCACTCATGATACATTTGTCTAAGATTTATCTGTTTATTGTAGACAGTTGATGTAAGAAAATACCGAAATATAACGCATTACGTTGCTGAAAAATGGTTGTAAAATTGTAGTAGAACTTGAATTACTTTCTTTTCTCATGTAATAAATTTAATGTCTTTTGTTTCAGAGCGAATCCTGGAGGACCACGAATATGTTCTGTCAGCGTATCGCGACTTAAAGACGTATTCCCGCGAGATAAAGTATAGATTTATTTTTCGGAAGGAGTACAGAAAATATGAGTTTTTCCATGATCCACAGGTGAGCGTGAAAATATACTTATTACATGATCAACTTTACGCCATCTATGAACGAAGCTCCTCAGTTTAGTTCTTCTCCTGCTATTGCTCTGACGGGAGTTTTATGTCGTAACAGACGAAGCTCAGCAGATCGTTCATAGGTGGCGCAACTCGATACTTTCAAACGAATAAGTGTTGTATAACGTTTCTGTACAATATAAATAGGAACAGTTCATTCAATTGTTTCGTTGTTTTTAGAGTTATTTCTTGACTTGTAATTACTCTTCTTTCCTTTCTTTCTCTTTTTTTTTTATTGAAGTGTGCCGCTGGGAATGAAAATGTCTATGTAAGCTGTGATTTAATTATGAAAACGAAAAGGCTAATTTTCTTTATCTCATTTTATTTTTTTTATTGGTTTTCTCTATGCATGAATACCCTTTTAGTTAGAACGTCCGTAAAGTTGAATTCCATATTTAATCGCTTGTGCATTGAACACACGTCGCCTTGGCAACTGTAACGTATCGAGTATCAAGTTTCTACAAGCTTTTCATGAGCGTCGCATTATCATTTTTTATTTTTCCCCTCTAACAAGTTTCCTTTTCATAATGAGCCGCCATCCACTGGCGCGGATTCCTATACGAGAGTAGCAATTTCCTTCTTTTCTTCGTTCTTTCCTTTTGTTCGCATTCATAAGAGAAATAAAGAGAAGTTCTTTGTTCGTTCATTAAACTCAGGATAAATGAAATCAGTTCGAATGTACATTTAACATGTCGTCGGATAAAATCAGGTACAAAAATAGGCTTTTTGTTAAATGTAACTTCAAAGCGTATAGTTTATTCAAGGCGACAGAAATATTTATTGAGTCATTTGGTAAAGAGTTCTGATCTACTATGAAAAGGGCATTCATAATGGTGAAGTATTTACGGTCTTTGATGATGGATAAAACGCATTAGTGGCGTGAAAAAGGAAATAAGAAGGAGAGAAAAATAATAAAGAAGTCTAGCGAAAACGCGTGCACGGTTTTCTCCCCCTTGATGAATAAATAAAAGCGCCGCGTTTTATAAATAAAATATATTAGTACATTCGGGCTGTCATCCAGACGTAATTCCCGAAACTAGCGCTCGTAAAAGAATTTATTGTTGTGAATATTTATAAACGCGCTGCAAAGACACTTTACTTCATTTCTTTTAATACCATTTTTGCATCTGCTCCGGACGTTCCTTGCGAGGGGTAAACAATACGCCTGTTTCTTATCCTGCACCGGACACGTTGAAAGAATATAGGGGATTAAAAAAGATACTTTCTACTTTATTTTTTGTTGTTGCCATCTCCTTCTGTTTTCTGTTCTACCACTCTGCTCATCGTAAATGGGATGCTTTTTTTTTTCTCTTTCTCTGCGGAAGGCGAAGAGAAACAGTTTCATTTAAACATCTCTCAGGATATTTATGGAGCAAACATGTAATATTACGATGTCGGCGAGATGTGAAAAACTGCTCCATTCCCCAATATCCTCAACTGCTCTTTTCTTTTTCATCTACCTTTCTCATTGCTATTTCTCACTCTGCTCTAAAGCGAACATTTTTTTTTGCTACCGAATAAAAACTATAGTTACAACAGCAAAATATAACAAAACATTAGTAGTTTAGAATGTTTTTAGCAATTTGGATTTGTGTATATAAAGAAATTATTAGTGAACAAATGAGAAAATAGAAACGAATAATCTCATATAATTAGGCATTGAATGAGCATTTCTATAAAAAATATTTTTTCATCTTTACTAACTAAAGGATAGTATTGAATTTGACAATTTACACGTAATATAATCATTTTTGGGACACATCAATACTAAAAGCTTCTTGCAAAAAAAAATGTTGATTTATTTTTATACTGATATAATTGAATTATGTACGAATCTAGTGTTCTTCGCCGACTATTTACCTATGAAATGAATGTCATATGCAAACATGGAAAGTATAAATGAAGTTATTAATATTTATTATTACTTTCCATTAACCTTTTGATGCTGTACCGTATTATTTCAGCGTGTTTCATCACATTTTTTTAATTATTGTTATTATGAAGTATGCGATAAGTCCTAAGCCTCGTTAATCCTTGCCATGTGCCATGCGGATCTTTCGGACTTTAGGTTAAAAGCGATGGATGAAAATATAAAAAAAAGCAGGCCGAGTCGAGATTAAACTTGTGAATTTTTAATAATATTCCAAGCGCAAGTTCTAACAGTCTTTTCTAAACATAATGAACGAACTTTCAGTTACGAAACTTATTCCATTAAATATATTCATTTTGAAACGTGAACCTCATATGCACGTTCATTTTGAAACTTCCTGTTAGTTTTCCATATACTATTATTCGGTTTTGTATATTTATGTTTTTAATAGTAATATAAATTTTAATAAGCTAAAGTACTTAATGTAATATTTAACTATGAACTTATTAATTGTAAATGTTAAGATAATTATTCTGAAATTAATATTACAATGGAATATTTCTAAGAGTTGATTATTAGTAAGAAGTATACAGATTATCATTCCCCTGTTTCATACAAATACTCATTATCCTGTGGCACTTCAGACTTCTGCTTCAACAAGAGTATTCTACCCTTTTGCAAGATGTCTCTTGAATGCCAACACATCAAGTGCAATAAGAGTTAGGATCCACACAACGCATTCAAGTGCCTCCACTTACTGAAGAAGACTAACTAAATAAAATGACCGAACACAGTGAAACAATATCAATAAAATATAAACTCATAATGTTGTTATAATATAATTAAAAGACTACAGTCACTACACTACTTGTTCATATTAGTAATTGAGTAAAAATTGGTAAAAGAGAGAAAGAGAATTTAATAGCTTCTTCCTTAAATTCAAAATTTTATGAAGTTATGATTTTTTTTTGGTTATTTTTGACAAATAAATAAAATTTTAAACCAAGAATAATTTAATAATTCAATCAACTAGATTTTTTTTCACTGTTTGTATATTATTGCGCCTATAACAATTTTTATGATCAAAATATTTTTTTTATGTTAACGACTGAAGCTCATGTATATGTTGTACCTTTAATATAATTAAATATTCCGTTTTAATTATTAACGGTAATTGCGCAATCAAAATTATACAGAAGATTACACGGTTAATTGCTGAACATTAATTACACATTTAATCCAATTGGTGTAATTTAAAAATATTCCTTTTCAGCAGCGTTAAATTGAAATTGGTTTGAAAAGGGAAACGGCATGAATAAATGATCAAAGGATTTGAATGCACGATGCCGAATGAATATTACATCATAAAGAATATAATGTTCTAGTACCACAATACCCGATTTTTTATGTTATTATCCGACAAAGTTCAATACTTACTATTTATTTATAATATTTCTAATTTTATATTCATGGAAATATAGACTGAAAGATTAACATCAACGACCTCTGTGTTTATGCTAAGTGAACATTAAAGTCCTAAATTATAAGCTATAATTATATTCATGCAATGGTAATTTTATTTAAATGAAAAGGTTCATCATTTTTTCATATATTTCATTACATTTATATAAATATTATTTTGAATTTTAATTACTAATTGATCGTTTTATTCAAATTTAAATTAGTTTCATTTAAATGATTAATTTTGTAACTTTTACTGTTTGATATATTACAAAATGTTGGTTAAGTAATGTGAAACATTAAAAATGTATGTAATTTATGTATTTCAAATGAATGAAATTAATATTCAATAAATTGTATATGCATATGCAGATAGTAATGTGAATCCGACATAATGTGGTGCACATAAATCATACACGTGCTGCTAATAACTAATCAATCTAGCTGCACTTGAACATATTGTATTACGTTTCTAAAAAAATGCAGGATGAATAGATGAATCTGAGCAGCGAAAGCTGCGACCGGTGGAAAACGTGCATCGCAGAATTAATTTTCTTTACAATCTAAGATTCATTATATGCACTCGGATGTGAGTTTAAAAAAAAAAAATTATGTTTTTTTCCGCGCATTATTAAAATATCTTTGAATTAGTTTTCATGTATTTAATTATATTTACTTTAATGTACTTGGGGTTTTCTTAGAGTTATTTTAGCAGATGGAAAGAGATTTTTTATTTATTTGACACGTTTACTGCCTCGTGATTATAAATGGTTCAGTAATTGTGCCAATGCAATTATCTCGGTTCCGTGAGATGGTTATTGTTCACGTGCCTCGGAGGTGGTGTGCCACATTTGTGAGATTTGGTAAAAGAACGTGAATGAATGAATAAATGAACGAATTAATGTTTAGGTAACTCTACACGTATGTTTTGAACGTATTCATAAATACTATTTATATAATTAAAATGTTGACGTTAATAAATATATCAATGTCTGATTTTGGCTTTGAAAAGTATTTCAAATATTTCTGTCATTAATATCTCATAACATCTTTAACGCTTTAACTACGGCTGTCGTCAATAGACGACGAAACGTAACTTTCGTGAGATACGGTTGTCGCCTTTGAACAATATATATATTATTGTAAGATTTGTCATCTCAGAACTTAATTATGATTACAGTATGCATCAGTTATCATCTTTTTATAACGTGTTTTATGGGAATACATATTTATTATCCACATTTATTTTATCCACATTTATTTTATCCACATTTTATTTCCGAATATAGTGTTGTGTCCAACCATTATTATTGTAGTTGTTATTACTAGTATAGTGTATTAACGAACTAGAGACATCCAATGCGTCTCTTAGTCGCATTATTATAAAAACATAAACATTAGCATAAAGGAATTTCTATCGTGATTCCAGTTCGATACACTTTAATATAAACAAAGGGGACCAAGCGTAAACATTCCCATCGATACTCCTGTACCTTTTCTTAGTCTTAGTCAACCTATTTTGAATACTCCGAGTACCTTTATATGCACATAAGAATCTTCCCATCTTAAATCATAATGGATACTTTTTTCATATAAACACATAATATATTCACACGTAGAATCGTAATCGATCACTTTTTTCATATAAACAAATGCAAAGTATAATAAACAAAACACGAGGCCGATTCCCGTGGGAACGCTTATCATCAATATAAACAAACCCTACTCCCGATCACAACTCCCACCCCGTATTAATAAGAATTAACTTTGAGTGAATCTTGTTAAATTGATCAAGCCTACTCCCGATCACAACTCCCACCCCGTATTAATAAGAATTAACTTTGTAAGTAGAATAACTATTTAGAATTAGTCTCAGTAAAACCTTCTAAAGACTGATATAGTCTCAGTAAAACCTTTCAAAGAATTAACTTTGGAAGTAGAATAACTATTTAGAATTATTCTCAGTAAAACCTCCAAAGACTGATATAGTCTCAGTAAAACTTTCAAAGACTGACATAGTCTCAGTAAAACGTTAATATGAGGAGCATAGTCTCATAAAATCCTAAGATGAGTATAGACTTAGTCAACCTGTCGATTAAACTACATTGTTTTGGAAAGGACCCCAAGAGTACCAATTGTAATAAACTTGTTTTAAATTTAATTCCCAACTACTGAGACTCCACAACGACAACACCAGACAATATTCCACTGTGTCCAGAATTCCATCCCTGGGACACGACAATAGGTGTAGTAGTAATATTTCATTTAGTACTATCTACCTACAATTTTCTTATAAAAATAATTATTTTTACCGCATAGAAAATTATTAGAAATATTATGAGACAAATTTTACAAAAACATGGAAGTTTACAGCTAGACCGGGAAGACAAAGTATGGAAACCATTGATTGTTTAACTGCAGTACATTTCATGGTAATGCATTCACCAGTTAATTTACTGAAAGTAGACAAATAAAAACAAAGAATTTGCCATGTATGCTCAAATACTGTTTGAGGTGAAAAAAACGAAAATATGCTACAACTTGGTCTCCCGAGTGTAAAATAGAACTTTGTATAAAAGGACTGTTACAGAATTTATCGCACAAGAATAGTTTTTTAAAAAAATGGTCAAATTATTCCTAATTTCATTTACTTTTTAATTTTTTCAATATGTCTTTTGATGATAATATTCTGTTCTTTATAATTACAGAATTTTGAAATGTAATGTACTTCACAATATACATAAATATATCAATTTTTTCCCTTTTTTGCGTTTATACAGCCAGTTTTATGATTGTATTTCAGTAGTTAATTAATTTACATAAATAAATATTTATTTATATATTTTCATAAAAAAGGTATTTATTACTTATTGTCTACCGGATTTTAACTAATAGTTTGATTTAAAATATAATAAATACAAATATATTTGATAAAGTATAGAACTTGAACTTAGGTATGCTTTTAGTAAAGATGATATTTGATAGTGGATTAATTTCATTTATTTTAAATTTTAAACATTTAACATCAAAGAAGAATTATTTTAGATCAATATACATAGTTGGAATAATCAAAATCGTCTTTCTCTGATAATTTTCGTTTTATTTTTATGAATGTTATTTTATAGTTATATGATCGCATTTATATCATGTTATTAAATCAAATATTAATGTATAAGAAATTATTGAAATATTCCATTTTCAAGATACAGTAAAGATATAAGATACATTGTAAGAAAAATGATTTGCAAAATGGAATACATTATTGTATATTATATTAGTTTATATGGGAACTGTATTGTTACATGTTGTAGGATTATTTTCCATTCATTGCGAGCATTGTTTATTCATTTAGTTTTTGTTGTAGAATAGTGGTGTGACTATAATAATTACTAACGCATAATAATTGAATTAAAAAATATTTACACTTTGTAAGTTATAAGCTAATTGTTATATGTATGTATTTTCAGCAATTCTTCCCGTCCGATATGATTCATAACGCAATATCGTGCAACGACGGGAATTATTCCTCCAGCAATCTTTCTCTACATGTAAGTAACATTTTTTCAACCCAAAGCGATTCACTTTTTTTTTTATTTGCTATTGTTGATGTTTTGCTCTTTGTGCTGCGTAGGTCTGGCTTTAGCGTTAATTTGTATTATAATTTGAAATAATTATACATAAATAACAGAGTCAGAGTTGAGGATCTGACATTTACAAAAGGTGGCAGATTTTTATAGACTTTCAAATCTAGATTTTAGATGAACGGATAATTATTATGGGCCGTACAAATCTCCTCCTCTTGCTTGCAAGTCTGTTGCCGGGGTCGATCTCGTTCAAATTCGCGCTCGTTATGCAACGAAATAATCGCAAATTGAGTCACTTATCATTTTTATTATTAAGTATTCTTTTGAAGACAAGGTGCGGTTTCACCTTCGCGTGATTACAACGTTCCGCAACTCGTCGTTTGTAAATGAGAGAGAGAGAAAAAAAAATCTCTTGACTCTCAAGGCTCTCCGACACTCGAAACCAACCAGTACACAATCGATGTGCACTGTTACGTGAACCTTTAAATAAATAAGGGTTGTAAAAGTTTATTAAAAAAATAATAACCTGATCGGTCGTTCCGTGCCGCTTTAATGGATTGCAGTTTTACCTGCAGCGATAAATCTCAGGATAAGTTATTGCGAAAAAGGGTAATGCGATTTAGCATATAATAGAAGTTTAAATGAATATTATAGGTGTAGCCAGTGCGGCACAAAGGAATCGCATAAATCTTGTGATTTTCTTGTGATTCTCGAAGTCGATTCGAAGATACGAGTAACGAAACGAAAGAAACAAGCGACGTATTTAGAAAGCATTTAGCGTATCATGACTTGCAGTGGCCAACAACTGTAATCCTAGCAGACGAGACGAAACTCAACAAAAAGAACGAAAATAAAAAGAAGAAAGAGGAAATTGCTGTGACCATTATGAAGACATCAATTGTTGGGTTGTATTACTGTCTCCGTCATCATCATCATCATTGCGGTTATTCTTCAATCTCAATTGAGATTAAATGCTAGAAATTGTTCATTTGAATTTATTTAATGCGTGAATCCTCGTGAACGTATATTTATTTAGAGCTTATGCTCTTTTTTTTTTCTGTACAATAGTGGAACTGAGCGACTGAGAGAAAAAAAGGTTTTGTGAGAGCACAAATGACGAGATTGCATGATGAAGTTGCAGGTACAATATTATTGTAAAAAAAAGTCAATGAAAAGGAAAGAAATTTCTGCATTGGGTCAGTGGCATGAAGCATCTACGAGAAAGTTGTTTTATATCTGACTTTCATACTATCTATTTTTTATATCAGTTAGAATGTTACATATTTAATAATTTAATAAAAAAATATCTTTCATATGTTTTCTGTAAGAATATATACTCAATCAATTTATTTCGTTGTGAACATGAAATTCTTATAATTATTACAGTAGAAAAGTTTTACAAAGTATTACCAATATCAAAATTTACTGAATACTTCTTTTGTGGCTTATGCCTAGTAACATCTGCGTAACATCTTTTATATTTCATATCCCATAGTAAATCTGTTAACAAGACTTTCGTAGCAGTTAACGATAAACTTCTGTTAGTGAGAATTCGCAAAATTAAGTTTTACGCTACATTTAATGTTGCTTGAATCCTGGCGCCATTTCCTACGGGCCTGTTTCACAACCTCCATATTTTATAAGACGTTTCGAGCGTTAGAAAGTTACATTTATTCAGATTCAAAGAAAAGATTTATCATCTTTTATATATCTAAACAAGTTTTATAATAAACAATATACATTTACTTTACATAAATATTATAATACACATATTTTTTTTATTAATATCGAATATTTGAAGATATTACGTACATAAATCCAATTAAAAAAAAATGTAATATCTATAAAACACATTTTAATTATGTATTTAACACTTTCTGAATTTGTATTTAAATTCAATATACTATACTCGATTTAAATATACATAATGTCTGTTACTACTATGGTTTTGCTTTCTGCATTTTGTTTTCATTAAATTGAACTAATTAAAATGTTTCATTAATTTAATATTCGTGTAATCAATGCTCATAAATGTATTTGCCCTTGTAATTGAAATATATGATACAAATGAACTCTCATATTGAATTAAAATGCGGAGTTCATTCAGCGTAATATTTTTGAGTTTATTAAATAATATTTATAATGACATTTTTGTAATGAAATATACAGTTCGAAATATATATATTGATTTTATTTTCGCTTGAATTTGAAGCATGAAGCATGAAACTGATATTGATTTTGTTTTGCGAAATAATTTAAAAAAAAGATTTTTATCAAGAAAAAAGAAATACCATTAAGCATTTCAATGAAATCCACAATTTAAACATATTCAAAACTTATATAGCAATAGTAAGTGCAGTAACTGAAACATTTTGATTTGATATTTTCAAAATTGCTTAACAATATTTAATTAATTTGAAATGTTTATTCAAATTAAATATTACAATACTTTTCCTTAATTAATTTAAGTATATTTTCATGTTACAATAGAATACGAAGCAGTTGAATATATGTTTTTTTATAAGGTATCCGTTATATATCGCAATACGATCTTCACAAAAAAATGGAATTCTTTTTAAGCTATTTGATTATTTAAATATGATTTACTTTCGTGTTGCGTAATGAGTGCTGTTGCGTATACACAAATAAAAGGAGAACAGGAAAACACGGTAAAAGCTTCTTGTATAATTTTCGTGTGTCTGGTTTGTTTGGTTTCGATGATGAAGTGTTCCTCTTTTATGGCTTCACGGTTCCGTGTTTTTGTACATAACATTGATACGGAATATGGAATTGATATTCGAGGGTGTCCGTAATGCTCCCCATACATTACGTTGTACGTATTAATGATCACCATAAATTTAAATGTGTTTGCGAGCGCCATACAATGTTTCAAAATTTGACAGATTATACGCGGAAGCAGAGGAGACGCGAAGATAAACGAGGTGAAGAGAAGCCAACTGCACAACATCATCCTGTGTAGAACTAACTTTCTCTGCCTCGCTCTATAAATACTTCGGCGCTAACATCACATCAATCATCAAATTAAAAAACGAAACGAGAGGAGAGACCAGAGGAGAGATGATAAGCCTGTGCGTTGTATGTATTGTGTTATTATGCAGAAGGAGGCGACGCGAACGTTAATTAATCCGTCGGCGTTTATAAATTTGTTGTTATAATTAATTATATTTCGGGGCGAAAAACGAGGTTGCCATTAATTTGAGCGCTGCTAAAGTGTCCCATTTAGACGAAAATAAATCACATGCAATTGAACGGGGCCGACCTTTTGACTCCAAAGTCAAGCACCTCGCGCGCAGCCATCTCTACTTTTATATCGAGCCAGCAGCAGAAGCAAGCTACGGGCATAATCCAAAGCCCAAGAGAAATTTCCCCTCTGCAATTTTTAGAAATCTTCTATCATTTCTTCACTAAACTCTGTTAATTCATTACCGCTCGGTTTCCATTACGTTTTTGGGGAAAATTTTAAATTTCCTTCCACATTGACATTATCCTCGTATTATTCCAACTATCTCGCTGATTGCAGACTACTTAATGCACACTTGTATCACTCCATCCGATACTTGTTGAGCCCATTTCTAAACATGAGTAAGTTATCTTTATAAATGGCTACTTTCACAACCAAAACACCACCTGCCACTTGCCTCCATTACACTTAACAAACTTTTATTCTCAACTGCATCTCTGAACTTTACTTTATTTTTCTTTATGAACTTATAAATTCCATTAAATTATACATCTACAGTTTACCTAATATTTAAACGTATACAACTTATTATGTTTATCAAATGTCAGTTTATTTTCCATCCATTTTTATGTGTTTAATGAAGATCGGTTATTCTGTGTCCCTTTTTTTCAAGTATAATCTTTGAAATAAAAGTATTTGTAATAGTAACCTTTGACATTAAACAATTTCTAAACAAAATAAAATATATTTTTTCAATTGTCAGTTCCTGCATTTATATTATAAAAAGTAAACGATTAAAAAATATTCAAATTTTTGGAACGAGTATTGATCAAGACGAGACGTAAAAGGTAATTCAATAATTTTAGTAGATTTTCATTAGTAGTGTCAAACTTTTTAAAATCATTTATTCTAAAATATAACTTAAAATGTATGTCATTATGCAATGTAATCATAATATCATTATTTCGAGCACAAATCGAATTATTTACATATTATACTTAATATTTATTTTAATATCGCCACGCACCCGGCGCGTCCACCACAAAATGGGAAATGATAACGCGTTTAATATGGGTAGTTTAGGCAATTTAATGTTGCCCCTTCCCAGTGATTTGCATAATTCTGTTTTGTAATATTAAGTTTTTGTTTCGTTATGGATGTCACGAAAGCCCATTACATCACATTAGGTACAACAATTATTAAACATGGTTTTTTAACCCTTTTTTGTGTACTTACAATATTTTTTGTGTGGAATAAATATTATAACAGATTTTTGTTGATTTTATTAATTTAATATTGCTATAAATATGAGATTAGACTGTTTTTAAGTATTTTTTCTTTTTATTGGCTTCCTTTCATTTTTTTTACCTATAAAAATATCAATTTTAGACGAATGACTAACTTTTATTTAAATAAAATTAAAAAAATGTAGATTTGATTTTTAAATGAAAATGATGCAATGAGTATAATAATAATTTATCGGTTAATATAAAGTGTATTTATAATATAGTGTAATTAAAATAAGGTTTTGCGCAATTGTATTTGCAAATATTATAAACGAGTTTAATAAAACGTGGAGGCATGTATATTTACACTAAAAATATATTAAATTTATGGGGTACTTGGTTAGATTATAAAACATTTGTACAACTACGTACAATATTGGCATAACATGTATGTGGATATTCTCTTTTGATACAGCATTATGTAAATCCCCGGGGCGAAGTTTCATATTGTAACAGTCCTGTTTGCCATTTACATTATACATCAACAAATATGTAATGTATTGTATCGCTGTGCGATATTCGTCCTGTCGTCGATGATTTTATTGTACATGAAATGAAATATTTTTAATTTTTCTTTAATTTTTGTATTGTATGTTGGTTGAAAATATAATTTCGTTTCTTTTTCAGCAAATGATTACACAAGAGGGTGAAACTCCATCCATATTTTCTCACATGTGGATGTACGATCAGTACAAGAACACATGGGGCAAGTCTTACATGCTGCTGAAAGACAAGAAGCTCTATTATTCCCTTAAAGTGCAAAGTCTGGCGAAGTTCGTGAGGACGCCGAAGTCGGTGAACTCGGTGAGTCTTTTTATATATTACACACTAACACACATCCATTCATCCGTACGTATGTATGTACACATGTACGTAGTATGGAGCGAGGCAGTGCTACAGTGAGAGAGCAGGAAGGATAGCTTTTATCGATTGGACGAGAGAGAGCTGGTTTCGGTGTATGTATGTGGAAGGCAGGTTCCTTTTTACACGCATTTACACCTCGCCTGCTTCAGAAGCAATTATACCGGGAATATCGATATACGTGAACAACTTACAGAATTGGACTGTACGGGTAGTAGTTCATTGGGATCTAATAGTTTCAGGGATTCAATTTACTCGTAAGATACTATGGGAATTATCTTGCTTTCGGGGGATTCATTCTAGTGATTAGATAAAGAGGGTGGTGCGGTTACTGTTTCGTTCAATTAAAGCGGCATTATCTTGTTAATTTCTTTTAATCGCAGCCGGCTTTGACCTTTATTGCCTACCAGAACTTAGTATGGATCTACTCGATATTTTACTGCATTCACTTAAATCCGACTAAGGTACAAAACGAACCAATCTTAAATAAAAATAAACTATTACTAATATATTCAACTTCTATTTAAATTAAACATAAATAATATTGCTTCGCCTTATAATTATAATATTTGTTGTCAAACATGTATCTGTCCTCTATATATCACGTATACTTTTTATATTAACTATTATTTTTCCTTTCTTCTTTAGTAATGTGTTTCATATAAAGTTTATTAGTGGCTTTGATAAAAAATATTAACTATTACATTTTAAATTTACGTCGTGAAATGTTGTTTGTGAATTTGTTTTTATCTGTTAATTAATTGTTAATTATTGTTAATCAGACTTACTAGGGCATGATAACCCATGGTCAATAGTAATATGAAGCAGTTTACATTTTGTTTTAGTATTATTTTTATTGTATGATTTATTTTGCAACAATGATTATTATTTGAGACTTACAAGTATTATAAAATATTAAAAATCGTACTTTAAACATAGAAATTTCATGCATTTGCTAAGTTTAATGTTTTGGCTTTAGTTGTAATAAATCTTAGTTACAAAAACTTTGTCATTCCAACATCTCGAAAAACATATTATTGTCTTGAATAATAATCCCTAAATAAACTTTAAACGGACGGAACTAGAATCCTACGCACATTGACGCAATTCTTTCAATAAACTAAATATTTCCAATGAAAGAGCAGCTGTTGATGCTATAGCTGTTGTCAAACAGGAAGTTTAGCGGATGAATTAATTATATAATAATAAAAACGGAATAGAGGAATTGCAGCTATCTCATTTGGCTAACTGTCGCTGAATCGAATGAGATTATGTTGATGATCTTCAATTAATTAGTTATTTATAAAATGAATGCGGAAAGACGTATAATTGGATAATTAAATGAATCTTCGAGATGTCGAAATAATTGGCTTCATCGTTGATACTTACGTGACACTCATTTGACGCACCCCCTAATTCTTATAATTGCTTCACGAAATTCCTAATATTGTCAATTTACAATGAATTTGAAGTGATAAAGTGATAATCGTCAAGACGAATATTGTATTACTGAAGTGATAGATGTATATTGATATTTTTTTCTTCAATCTTAACACTGAAAGTGTGAAATTTCTAAATGAAAGTAGTATTGTAACCAAATGGATTATTTATTTTTAGAATTGTGTTTGTATTTAATTCCAATAGTGCTTTATTGTAACTTCCATTTTTGTGAAAGTGAATTAATAATCTATTATTATATTTTCTGAGGTCATTTTTTTTATTCATGTATGAATTATTTATTTGAAACATGTGTTTTTTTCTATCCAGCTTATAGTACAATAGCAGAGGAATATTTAAGTTTAACCTCGTCAAGAAATAGAAGATTTACATTAATTATAGCGTTTAATGAACGTTGAGAATTACCCAAGATAAACAATGGTATACAATTTAATGCATTTTTTCATAATAGATTATTTTATACATCTTTTATAAATGCGTAATGAATATATAATAGGTAAAATGTACTTGTGATAAAAGAATATGAAATAATATTGAAAAAGAAACATATGTTTTCATGTTTATGAAATATTATTGTAACGATAATTTATGTTATTGTACTTTTGTAATTCTTATTTGGTTTCCCTTTTTTTTGCTGTATGCGCTACGGATTTTGTTTCGTAGTGTTAAAATTTATTAGTCTAGCAAGTTTGTCACGTATACCCTTAGCACCCTATTCACATTTTCGCCTTGTTGTTTTGTATATGATATAATTATAAAATAATTCGTTATTTAGCAACGCGCAGAAGATCGATATAGCTGAAACCGAGAATTAACACAGCATACATACAGTAATTACGTAAACACGACGCCGGTCCTTGGCGATCCATAATCAATTATTTAGATAATCCAATGAATATATCCTTGATTATGAAGCAATTTCAATTTATTTTTATACTTGATTGTGGAGGATTGTTGCAAAGCATATAATATTTTGGATAATGCAAGTAGCAAGTAGATCATCTTGGAATTTATGATTTGAACCCTAATGACAGCAGCTGCAACCATATAAAATGATACATGCAGCAATGTTTTTTCACCCCGTCTCTCTCTCTCTCTCTAATACCATATATTTGTTGGAATGCATAAACATGTGCATATGTATTTATATTGTGTATTCCTCCTGTATAATATAATGGTATGGCGGCTGGAGGAGCCGGAGCAGTGGCAGCTGATGCATGCTGCTTGCCCATAGAAATGTATGTTCTTTCGCGATACATGTTTTTGCCGCAAATCCCGTACTTGGCACAAAGCAACCCCTTTTTCGTGCACGTGTCGTGGAGATTCCGAGAACGGGGAAAATATCGTTCCTATATTCATTTCGGTACACATGTCCGACTGGAAGTGACGTGAATGGGGCGACGACCGTTATTAATGGATTCCGTTTAATAATCCAAACCAAGATCGATCGTGCAATTTTTATATTTCCACTTGCTCCCAGCCATTCCATACCCTTCCCATCTCATCCCTTCCGTTTCTCTATCTGCCATCACCAACGACGGATTTGTCGATACTCCTCGCATCACCTAACACATTGTCCAACCTCTGAGATGGAGTGTTCTCTTTTATTATCATCAACCAAATAATTTTCTCAGGTAACAGTTAAATCACTTTAAGAAAAACAATTATAATAATATAAGCATTTCGATAAAAACAAATCAATAATAGGTAGGTAATTATTTTAAAAATCACCTTATTTGGGCATTTTTCATCTTATATGTCGCTCGTCGGCGTTGCGATGAATCACTTGCAGTTGCGTACGTTTAAACAATCCTTATTTGGCACAAAAATAGTATGTTTCGCATACTCGATAGGAATGTAATTAAAGATATTTTTTTTAAGAATTCACATGATCAATCATTTCTATTTCCAGTTATGGATATTTATATTTTTAATTGAAATTTAGTTTGTTACATTTTAACTTGTTTCATAGAGAAAAAGAATTTCATGCTGCACGAGTTACGCATTGTGGAAGCAAATGAAAGAGTTTGATCAAATTATAAACATGCAAACAAATTAGTGCGGTGTTTGGAAAATGTACAGCTGTAGTACAAGCAGGAATAGGAAACGACGTATCCAAATGATTCCAGCGAATTTATTGCATTGATGTATGTGTGTATGCACGATGAGTGCAACATCCGTGCTGCTTTCGCCACTGTCGTCGACTCCTCTGACAGCTGCTGTGCACTAATTATTGAAATGTATTTGAAATTGCTGCGCCGTTTTTAGTTTTTGAATTCGCAAATAATAATTCGGCAACAGATGCGCTATGATCACCGGAAACGTACTGTCAATAAATTAGCAACTTTTTCCATTTTTATTTTTTTTGAGCGACAAAACCCATTAGCCGTTTGCGACCCGAATGTTTTATATTATTTATGATTCTTTCCTGTCCACAAATATATTGTATTGCGTGCCACAATGTTAGTTGACATAAGTTATGAATCACACCATCTAAAAGTAACTATATACTTAAGACGTATAGATTTATTTAATAAATTCATAAGAATTTAAGAATTGTGAAGTAATTTATTTGCATGTTATAATTCAAGTATATCTATTTTAAGAAATTAGTTTACTCTTTTTTTTTCTTAAGAAACGTTTAATAAAGTGAATCATTTTAGCTCATGTAGATAGTATCAGTAATCTATGTTAAATTAGATTTCTTTGTGGTTTCTAAGAAATTGTATTTTCTTTCGAATCACAATGGGGTAGTCCACGTGATATTGCATGGTTTCTTGCTCGAAGGAATACGGAGAAACGGAAACGGCCATGACAACATGAAATATGTATGTCTATAGTTAAGAAAAGAGCGAAAAGAAACACGAAATACCGGAAAGCCTAATCATTGAAACTACAAATAATGTTCTTAATAATCTGTGATATAAACTAAAAGTAACAAATTTAAAAATACACAAATAGAAGATTGTTATTTATATAATCCAATTCGCGTTTGTTATCGATTTTATTAAAGATCGTGCGTTTTCGTCGAGATGAAAGGGACGGGTATATAAAAGATGGTCGAGCAATTTTGTGAAAACGTTAAAATAATATTACAAGGAATTGAAAAAATACATGGAAAATTATTGTAAAAGGGCTTTCTTTCTATATTTTCATTTTTATTCAAAGTAAGCTTTAAATTATATTTTAAAAAAGATATACGTAATATATAATTAAGTTTTATTATATTGATTAATTATGCCAGTGAATTGTTTCTAGATATAAAATTGATTTGAATTTTTATGTATTCAGGCTATTTATTAATTAAAGCTAAATGGAAGGTCAAAAGCTTCAACCTTTTCAATCTATGAATTACAGTGCTATTGTCTTGCAAATTGCCTCTAGAATGATTTAATTAATGCTCTAGTTCAGTGGCGGATTTCACATTGAAATGAATCTATTTCATTATTAAAACAAAAAATATAGTTTATAATATTACGTGAATT